CACCCTGAACCATTGTTACACTGGATGCTCAACTATGACAGTGAAAAAGGCATGACTGGAGGCTGCTAGTCAGACCTCCCAGGCAGAGTATGGTAAAACGTCCAGGAGAGCCCTATCTTAGACGACTATACAAAACATGCACATAGATGTGCTCGGTAAGATTCAAAAAGTTTTACTGTTAAGAAAACCTTTGACGTGAATTTCTTTAATTAAAAGTAAAAAATATTTTTGAGTGTGCAGGAGTATTTGGAGAGTATCATTGACATTGAGGTCTACAGTACACCAATAGGAGATCTCATCCCTACAGTTTTAATCGACCAAGGAGGTTCCGATGAACAAGGTCCTTCAAGCAATTCAATTGTACCTCCATTACAGGATCACACAGCTGTGTAAATGAGGCCAGTGGACTGAGCTCTACTGGATTTGGAACCCAATCGTTCTGACCCATGGTGCTACTGACAGTTCCTCCAAACTGACACCTTTTATTAATATCTGCCCACACCATCAGATAGTATGTTACAGTATTGTGTGTTGCTGATCATAGCTGCTCCTGTCAGAATGTCACAAAAATGTCTTGATACAATGGAAGGTCATGCTTCATGCCGTGTCTCTCTCCTCTAAAGCCATGACCTTGAGGTTACCCGTTGACAGGAGTAGAGATAAACAATCTTATAGATACTATTGTAATTGTTCTGATTTAATTGACATAATCCCCATTTTTAACTTAAGGTTCTGTCATCCAACAACAACAGAATTATATTTGTAGAGCGCCTTTCACGTTGGGAGGACTTCCCAAGGTGCTGGACGATCAGTGTTCCAGACCCGAGCTGGGGGTTGGGATCGGGGAGGGTGGAGGGTAGTAGGGGGAAGGGTGATCAAAGGTACGGTTGAAGAGGAGGTTCTTGAGATAGGTCTTGAAGGAGGCAAGGAAGGGGGCGAGGCGGAGGGATTATGAGATGGAGGTCCAGAGGGTGGGGGTCAGAATGGCTGAAGGTCCACCCACGAATGGTGGGGTGGGCGAGGCGTGGGACGTGAAGCAGGCCGGATCCCACTGAGCAGATGAAGCGGACAGGTTGGTAGGGGGTTAGGAGGTCACAGAGATAGGAGGGAGCAAGGCCATGGAGGGCTTTGAAGGTGAGAACTGTATCCTGTGTGATGGGAAGCTACTGGAGTCGGTTATAAATCCAGTTCCAGATATAACACTAAAATATTCTGTATCACGGAATACAAGCAGAAAGTGTTCTTCAGTCATTTGTAAGCAGTAGTTTTCTGTCTGAAAATAGTTTGGATATCTCAATTCCCTGCCTCCTCTCCCTCAAGAATTTTGAAAAGCATGTTGCACCCTGGAGTTAAGGGACGGGGAAAGAACTTCCCAGGCACATGACTCATGATCACTTGGTCAAGGTATCAATGGGCAACTAATTCCCATGGAATTGCATGCAACACAAGCCAACACTCCTTGTAGAGGGGAAAATTGGGTGGGAAAATATTGTCTGCCAACTGGGTCAATTGTGTCCACCTCTGAGTCAATTGCTGTTTCCTGAAAGTTGGGTCATGGGCCATGAACATAAAATAAGTACATTACTTTTCCACTTTTTTTTATTCTTTGGTGTGCTTTAACATGCGAGTACTCCTGTTTCGCCCCAGGCAGCAGCTTTGTTCAATGTTTTCAAACATTTCTTTCACTTTTTTTTTAAAAAATGTAAAAGCCAGTTGTGTAGAGATAAGATCAGTGCATGAGTTGTGGGGGGAGTAAAGAGAAAAAATATCTTTCCCGCCATTACTGGCACTAACCTCGATTAGTGCCTGTGGCTAGAGGCAGGGAAATAGGAAATCCCTTAACACTCAAGCAACTAGTGTAACAAGGGAAACTTTCAAACCCAACATGTACAAAACCTGAATAAATGTCTCCTGTTTCACTTTCCCTCTTCGTGAGATCATCCAGTCCCTTAATGTGTCCCTGAACATTTAGCTCTATTTAGCTATTTTCTCCACCTAATTACTCATGCCGTTCCACTTCAGCTTAAAGTAAAGTGACGCTGCTATAAATGTCTTCCATGGCTTTAAGCATTGCCAATAACTTTATCATACAGTAGGTGCCTCAAAGTGACACTATGTGAAAGAAAATAGATAACGTTTCACTCTCCAGTGCTGTGAATCCACATACGAACGTGATAATTAAATGGATGATAGAAGGTCCCTGATGTGAGGTTTCATAGTCCTTCACACCTGAATATTTATTACTAGATGGATAGAGCAGAGGGTTAAGCACAACGTCCTTTTACTTCTTGAACTTAATTCTGAATCCAGACCAGACTAATGTGTTGAAAGATTCCTCAATTTGTTGGATGGAAAGGCTCAATGCACAGCCTTGACCCAGATACCAATTGTAGGCATTAAACGGTCATAATCTGGCACCAATTTGAAAACGTTACCCAGAGTTCACAAGCGGGTACATAGAGAGAAAGAGTGCAGCAGGCAATTTAGGGTAAAGAGACTCTTTGGGGGAATCATGGAAGGAGACTCTTTGCATCTGGCCAGCTCCTTAATTGACTTGGTGTGAATGGTGACACTTACTGCACTTCACAGTAAAATATTGTGAAGCACTTTGGGATGTCCTCTCAAAGCCAAAGATGCTATAACAAATCCAAGGATTATTATCATTATGATGGTGCCTTTACCATGCTTGCTCAACAAAATTCATCTCCCACTAAGTTGGAAGTATTTTAACTGAAGCTCCCTCAATAGTTTGATTAGTAAATACTAATTATTTACTAAACTAAACAATGACGGGATCCTCAGAGATGCTGGTGCATTCAACTTTGCGCCAGCAGCAAAGACCTGTGCGTATCACCTGTTGACCATGTAGACCGGGTTAGGGTTACCAACATGGGTTGTACTGCATCATTCAGACGAGGAACTCCTCAAATTGAATCCTTGATCTATGCTAAATTAGCTGGATCCCTAGATTATGAAGGGAAAAAAAAATCTGTTTCCCAGGATTGATTCTTCCACAGTGACCACTCCTCACTTTGGGACAATGGACAAGGACTCAATTTGACTTGGTTGTAGTAGCCTTGTAATCAGCACTCACTGTCTAACCTCTTCTCAACCAACCCACTCTCCAAACAATACTCAAAATCTTTTGACTCCTTCCTCACTAATACTCACTGTCTAAACTATTCCCTACCAACTCTCACTGTCTCAACTCCCTACCGTGAATACTCTAATACTTAATGTTTAGACTACTAAACCAACCAACCAACCAACCAACCCTCACAGTATGCCTTCCCAGGGTCAGTGTCACAGCTTTCTTAGGATATGAGTAAGCTGACAAGATCCACGAATCCATCATGATAAGATGACGTCCTCAGGAGAGGAAATTGAGAAAACACTGATTGTCCTCCTGATCCCAAAGAATAAGCTTTTAGGCAACTAGTCTGATTAAACTAGCAGGTCTCACTCATGCTCCACAAAGCTGAATCCTGGAAGCTGCTGCAATAACATAATTTGGGTACGGTAAAACAAAACTCATCCTTTGTGCAGTAAACATACCTAAAGCATCTGAGTAATCAAACTGTAGAAGGGTTGTGGCTTTGCTCTGTGCTCTTTGCAGGTCGGGGTCAGAGTTTAATTTCTTGTGGTACGTCTGCCAGCATTTATTGGGGAGACCAGTTGGAATTTAGGACTGAACGCTGTCAAATGGGGAAGCCTGACTTGCACAGAGAATCATTCATCCCCACCTAGTTGACTGTAAATGATTAGCAAATAAATACTCAAACCAAGCACTAAATATTTCTTTAGTTAGAACAATAGTTGCTCTTTCACTGGGAGTGCCTTGAGAATTAATGCCTTACGTTTCTTTACAACTGACCTAGTTTGTTTCCCTTGTGTGTTGCTGCTGGTGCCTTTTGCACTGTCGTGTGCCATGGTCAGCACACTACCATTTTGATCACCACTGCCAAGTGTGATATGACACGCTGAATGATTAATTGTTCAGTTTACCTCCATGGTGTAGTGTAGAAGATTACATCTTACTACCAAGGAGGAAATGGGCTCATAAGATGAACAATGATCAAAGAGCTAAATGTCTCCCAGATGCAGAATTGCCATCTAGTTAAATATTGCTGAAGACATCACATCGCTGAAGACTGATGGGAGTACAGGGCAGATGTGGTCATTTTGGTTAGAATATTAATGGCTATCACTGGCAAGCTATGTGGTTTTAGCTGGTTAGACTCCAGCAGTACCCCAACACACACTCTGGGGTCCCGAAGCCTTGACTCTTGCCAACCTGCACCTAATACTTTCCAGAATTAGGTAAACAGAATGCATCCCTCTCTTTAGGGAGAGAGTGCGCATTCCATTCCAACAATCTACCTCTGGAATTTCATGTGTGGGTGGGATGCCTGGAATTCTCAGCTTGGTTTGGATACTCTTAAGCATGGTGATGGGTTTCCGCATCTTCAAGTCACCCAATTAACCCCCACCAAAAAAAAATTGTAAGAATCTTAAATTCTCAGCATCTTAAAAGCAGTTTAAAAAAGTTTTGTCTTGTGCCATGTCTCACAGTTTACATATACTGTACTCCTCAGATATTCCTTCCTCACTGTGGGGGAATGTCTGGGCATCATTTGAACAAGTCAGGAACCTATTAAGTGTAAATTATTGCTGAGAGGTGTAAGGACTCAGGTTCCATGGCTAAGGTGATGTATATTGTTAAAGTACTCTTGTATCTAGCTCAAGGCTATTGAGCCAGTCAGCAGAGCGAGGTCTCTCCTACAGATTGGGAGGAGCTAGGAGCAAACAGGCATGTTCCTGCCTGAGGAGTAGAGTGTTCTCATCTCTGTTATTAAAACTATTCATTTATTACTCCATGTGTGGAGTCTGATTCAACAAACCCACAACACACAAGAACCAACATCCCATGACTTGTTACACAACTCATTGGTGCTTTGATCAACTGTATCACCCCCACTCCCTACCGGCTGAACACTTACCGGATAGGGATATAGGGTCACTCCGTTCGTCCTCGATACAGACCATGTTCCCTCCAAGTACTGGTGAGCTTGAATAGCCACCGAGCTCAGGATGTTGCCGTTGTTGGGGCTGGTGGCCATCTGGAGCCCAGCCTTGGATACCGAATGTCCGGGGGAGCCGTTCTTCTTCTCCACCCCATTGACGATTCCTAGTGTGTTGGGTTTGCCCGTGTACTTGTTAGTCAGGAAGCCTGTGTAGGTGGAGGTGGTGTATGTGGCTGGAACGAAGGCCCAGTCTCTGGGCACCTGCAGGCTGCCTATGTTGCGGGAGCCCACCAGCGAGGGAATATTGGACAGAGGGGGAGAGCCTGGCGAGGCGTCGTACTGCTCCAAGGTGGCTGCCTGCTCTAGGGTCTGCACCATCTGTATGGCTTCCTGCTTCAGCTGATTCAGGTGAGTGGCACAGATGTCACAACGGTTGTCCCGCTCGTTCCAGGCTCTCCTGGTCGTGTTAGGAACCTGGAGTTTGTCGTGGATCAAAGCTGAGAAAGCTGGGTCCTAAGGAACAAGGAGAAGAGAGGAAGAGAAAAGAGGAATGAAGCAATGCATGCAGTAGAGAGAATCCACCACTGTTAATTACAATCATTAACCTGCCAAGTAGCTTGTTTCTGCTGTTCAACAGCCATGTAGGTGCTGTGTTGCCCCGCGCGGTGTTAAATTCATTAATAAATCAACGTGGTTTCATATGGACCAGCTCAGCCAGACAGTGCTTATTAACCAAAAACAGTAATTTAAGGGATACTTGATAGACATCCTGATTTGATAAAAACAGGGATCAGACAAGGAGGTTAGGGCTGCTTCCTCTGGAGTGTTTATATTCCAGGGCACTGCAGAGCTGATTCACACGGCAGCTACAACAACGGGTCCCAGAAGCTGCTGTATCTATGGATTTTGCACCTTACCACTTGTCTTCACCCATCCCCATTCACCCTGGTTACTCTACAAGCAGCAGCAGCAGCAACAACAATAACTTGGATCTACATAGCGCCTTCACTCGGATGGGTCTCAAGAGCACTTAACGCTGGCGGTGCCTGACACTGAGCTGGTGGGGGGTGACCATAGACACTCTTGAAGCAGCACCAAACAATAAGTCATAAGCAAACTCAGGCACACAGTTGTCTCCAAAGTCACAAATGGCAACCCTCGGGTCAAACTTGTACTATTTCTCAATTGGATTGCTTAATAAGGAATCAGATTTACTTGCAGGATCTTGCCTCTGGCCCAATTAACTTTCAAAGAGAAGTTGCCACTGATTGGGAATTCTAATGGGATTCCTTATCAAGAATGTAGTTAAAAATTGGTGTAAATTAAACCCCATTATTTTCTATCTGTGCTCGGAGGCGGTGCTAATGCCTCATTTATAATTGTAGTGTTGCTGAGGGCAAGCCAGCAGTGTGCTCTCAGTATTAAAATCAAAGTCCCAGCAATGAAAAAAAGACCCACTCATGTGTCAACACACAAGTCTGTGCTAACAGGGGGCCAGTAATTGTCTGGTGACTTTACTCTTGGTTCCGATCGATAACAAAATTCTTTTCATTGACAACATTCATTAAAAGTGAGCCGAGGAGCTCTTCCGAGGGTTAGTGGGTAGAAACAGTACTATGGCCATATAAACCCTAATATTCCAGGCGCAGGTTCGATTCTTGGCCTATACTGAGTTTGCTGATCCCATGTCAGGGCAGCAGTTGTGGTGCTACTCCTTCTTCTCTAGGTTCCAGATAGGAGGTTCAGCATGTTTCCCACTCTGTTCTCTGCCTTCCCACCCCCCACCCCCGGCAAGACAGCGTGGGTATACGGACACGGTGAAGACTGGACCAGGCTCGGTTGTGATGTTCCTATGGTCGAATGGCATGTGAACATTCACTCACTGTCTGAACATGAAAAATGTTCTTTGAGTAAGGTATTTGGGTTTGGGCACCCACGGAACTGAACTCCTGCATAACATAGAGAAAATTGGAGGATGTTTTTTCTTTATAATTGGTAAAACAGCGGGAGTTTATAAATAACATCACAACATCTCAAACTGCTTCACAGGAATTACTGAGAAGTTGTAGCGACCATGTTGTTGTTGGCAAATATGGCAGCAAATTTGCACATAGCAATGTCCCACAAACACCTATCAAGTGAGTAATCAATTTTATCAGGTGCATTGTTGGCCTTGGGACATCCTCCCGACGTGAAAGGTGCTATACAAATGTAATTTTGTTGTTGTTGTTGACCAGGACACCAGAAGAAGCTCAATTCTCTTCTCAAATAGCCCCACCGGATCTTTAACATCCACCTGAACAGGCTCAGTTGAATGTGTCATTTGAAAGCCGGTACTTGCAACAATGCAAGAATGACCCTGAAATTGTTGTTGTTGTTGAAATGTTTGACCCCACAACCTTCTAACTCAGAGGTGAGAGTGCTTCCAGCTGACCCAGGCTGACATATAACAAATAGATTCAGAGAACTGGGATCTAATTTGTTATTGGAATGCCTTACTAAGGAATCCTAAAATAATTCCATTGGTCCGCTGAACTGCACTGTACGTAGATCACAAATGATGTACTTCGTGGAGTCCTGTAGCTCAGTGGTTAGAGCACTCGCTTTGCAAGCGAGAGACCTGAGTTCAATTCCAGGCAGAGGGCGAAACCTTGGGCAAGTTTCCTTACTCCACACGCCTAATAATAATCCCTCCAAAAGACCAAAAACAGTAATAAATTGGTCATTTTCAATCTACGACTGTTTGTGGGACATTGCTGTGCGCAATTGGCTGTCGCGTTCACCCACAAATATACAGTCAATTCACTTTACAGTGTGTTCTGTGAAGCGTTTTGGGACGTCCTCCCGACGTGAAAAGCGCTATATCAAATGCAAGGATTATTATTATTATTAATACTTCTAATTACCATAAGAAGTCCCTATTTGTGAGACTCAGATTCTTTCGTAAGAAATCCCATTAAAGAAACAGCACAAATTAAGACCTCTGACGCTCACCACAAGGCAGAAAAGTCTTTGTTCTGCACTTTATCGCACTGCCATCTACAAAAAAAGCACTGAACTGATATGAAGTGCTGTGCTGCCCACTGTCTCCCTCTCATAATGTCCATCAATGGCTGCTCAATCTCCAGCCCCGAATCTCCAGCCATCTGAATGTCAGCTTCACCTCAGTGGGAGAGCTGCTACATGCTTTTATTACAACGTAAGAGCCAGTCACTAGCAGCAGGAAGCCTTTCCTCCAACCCCCACTCCCCCTCACCGCCCCACACCACCATTAGCTTGAGAAAACGAGAACAAGAAGGGCCAGTGTGTGAGACTCTCTCTGTGTAAAGCGCAGTGCTGTTATTAGACACTTGTGCCAATGATCTGGAACGCCACTGCAACTCCCCAAACACCATGACCAGCAGACGCTTTGCAGACACGCCAATCAAACCATCTCCCCATTCGACTTGTGTGTGTGGTCCAGCAGCCCTGAAGTTTTGTGCCTCTGCAGTCATTTCTGACCGTGGCAGGAATGACTCCGAAAGCAGAGCACTAAGGTTACCTGATCCCTCATTGACCACAGTCCCTACAAGTTGGGAGGGTTTTGCTGCAGCTTTAGTGCTATTATTCACACAGAGCTGTTTTGTAACTGGAATGGGGCTCTCATCCACTCCAGCTCCAACTCCAAACAACAGTTACAATGCAAAGTGGAAGCACTCCACTCAAAATGTTTTATTCTTCTGGGAAGAAATGTTCTGGGTTTCATGCCAGGTAAAAAGTGTCCTCGTAAGTACCTTGTGGCAGGCAAATCCATCTCGGAAGGCCATAAATTGCAGAATCAATTGAATGTGTTCAAAAGGGAGATAAGGGGTTGAAACGTCCCACCTTGCATAACACATTGTCAAACACCTCAAGACGGGGTGGGGTACTTGAGAAAGTGAAGGTTTTGAGGTATATGGAGAAGCGGGAAATGAGATTTAAAATATAAAGAGTTGAGGTGCCCCAAAGGAGTGAAACCAGCACAAGCTCAACAGGCTGAATGACTACTTCTGCTTGAACGTTACTTGACAATGTTGCTCCTCTAAGCACCTTCTGCACGAAACATTGGATTTATACCAAGTTCCACACTAAATGTATGTGGGTGGGTGGAGAAAAATACCCGACTGCCTGCCGATTGTTTCCCTGGTATCCGTGCCCAAAGGTGCTGTCACCTTATACCCCCCGTGAGCCCATTAGCTGGAATTACCAGGCTCCGGGGCATGATCAAGCATTTTTGTTATTATTAGCTGAATGATTCTTAAAATCAGAATGAAAAGCAGCTGCTCTTCAGCTGGTGAGAGCAGATTTACAGCCACAGGAAACAAGTTGACTTTACTCCGGCGACCTAAAGAAGACGGCTTTAATTATTAATTTTGCAGCATGGCATCTATAATTTTAAGTGTTAATTATTAAAATGTGAGATCTATGGATATAACGTATAATGGTGTATAAAAAGGCATTAATTATTGACACTGAAATTTGCCTCTGGCAATCCAGTTATAAATGATAGAATTCCCCAGCTTTCCCACTTCCTAGTTAATCAACTACGGCTGCTCTGACATGTCCTGTGTTATCTTCTCAGAGGGGCTGTCTGAAATGGCAGGACTTCCTCACCTCCTTTATTCCCGCTCTTTAAATACTGTTGAGTTCTGATTAAGCACACAGCTAATTTGCTTAGAAGCAATAGTCCAGATCACTCTCCTCCACACTCCAGAACTCCATCGCTGAGTCCCTTTGCCTCTCTACCTTCCTCACCTTGTTCAAGATCCATCTGAAGACCGACCTCTTTGACTACGTTTTCAGTCATCTTTCCCCTCCCCACCCCTAGCTCAAGTACCAAGCCATTATTGTTGACTGCTTTGGGATGCCCTCCTGATATGATAAGCGCAATATAAATGTAAATTTGTACTGTATTGTATCAGAATCAAAATTATATTAGCAACAAATTTTGTTCATTTTGTCATATGGCTCAAGTATTTTTCCTTGCTTCATCCCCATCCTCTATCAGTATCTTCACATGGGCATCACAAACTGACTGCTCAGCCAACCAAGCACACCTTGACAGGAGGTGCTCAGTCCATTCTCATCTTTGTCCTGACCTAGTCCCTATCTCTCTACTCTCTGCTTCAACAGGAGTCTGTTTACTTTTGTTCCAAATCCCTCAAAGCCTCCTTGCACTGGAGCGTTTAGCTTGCACTCAGAGTGGTATGAGGATTGGTACTGATCTTGTCTCCCTTATAATAATATAATAATCCTTGCATTTGATATAGCGCTTTTCATGTCTTCTTGACGTGTCAAAGCACTTCACAGAATCGACTGTAAAGTGAATTGACTGTATATTTGTGGGTGAAACGCGGCAGCCAATTGCACACAGCAGTATCCCACAAACAGTCGTGGATTGAAAATGACCAATTTTTTATTGTTTTGCTTTGGAGGGATTATTATTAGGCGTGTGGAGTAAGGAAACTTGCCCAAGGTTTCGCCCTCTGCCTGGA